CACTCTTCTATAGTAGGAATATTGCCAACTGCACCTTCTAATTAGAAGTGCACACAACCATACGAAAAATACTCTCCAATTGATCTATCCATTCTTCAACCACTGTTGGCTTAAGATTTCCATCGAAAGTAGGAGGATTAAACTTACGAAAAGTGCTCCAGATCTTTGTGATCGTGGATGTCTGTTGCTCAGAGTGGAGACTCACATTCTTTGAACTAGTCTCATGGTGAGAATAGGAAGGTGAGCCTTCATCAGCAGATTGGCTCACATTGTATATCTTGGTACGACTTCCTTCTTGTTAGCCATTTCCCTCTCGGTTGGCATTTTCCTTATATTGTCTTAAAGCGGCCAACTCTTCTTCCTCTCCGGTTGTGGCAGTAAAGGTATGTCATTTCCTATTAGCTCTATAGAATCACCGACAATTTCACCACCTCTCCTAGTTTTGGACACCATCTCTCCCCTCCTAAAGGATGGAAGTCACATAATTAAGTCAACATAATCTCAAGACAAGAAAAATAATGGAGAAGCATTATGATTTAATAATGTATATTGCCAATAAACTATGTTAATGTATAACAACTTCATAATTTATAAGAATCTGAAACATGTAGCTCTGATACCAAGATTTGTAACAAACCAAATTTTTTTAAAATAATTTAACTCAACTATAGTTGGGTTACAGCCACCCAACACATTTTTTTATATCAATAATTTCAATATAAAATATTTTATAATTGGCTTAAACTTGCACAATACAACATTTCAGATAAATTTTTACCTCCCACATGCCATTAGGCTAAATCACATTTGTCTATCCTTATACTCCCAACAAGTAAAATAAATAATTTAGTCAATTTTCAAAACAAGCCAGTTATTTGGCCTCATAATCATGCCATTTTAACAAATCCAAAGTAAACCAAATATTAAAATTATAGTCATCCAAAGTGTACCAAAAATATAAATAGTTTGAAAGGCATAATTACATTTATATATTCATATAATTGTCAATAAACAAAAAGCCCTAATATTGGCAATATAAAACATTATAAATCATAAATTAAATACCCAAAAGAGACAGTGGATCTATGCCACTAAGCCTCTGAGACTCCTCCACATGTCACTCATGGCTCTTCTCCTGAAAATTGTTAACCACATGATGAGACTCAAAAGTCCCAGTAACCAATGCCAATTTATGATAGTGTGTACAAACAGTTAAGTGTGTGCTTACTAAGTGAAAACCAAAAATAATATAATTCCAACAAAATATAAGAAATATTACAATACACACAAACAAACCATCCTTATATCCCTCCATTAACCTCGAGCCGTAGCCCTCACTCGGTGTTAAATTACCCGGCCGAAGGTAGACTAGCCCGAGCCCTTACAAGCCACCTATTGAGCTCCAATAGGGGCGTACCACGTGGCACATAAATACAATAATAATAGCAAGTCTTCCAACACCTCCCACAATAATCAAACAAATTCATAATAATATTGCACAATTATACAATATTACAAAATTCATAATTTTCTCAATAATCATCCAATTAACATGAAGTAACACTAATCACAAATTAAAAGCATGGTTACCTCGTGGCTTTTTCAATAAATTATTCCTTATAATTTCTCTCCCACCACAATCTTCACCAATGATACAATCTACAAATAACATATTATTTATAAATATTAGTTTCAATTTTGAAACTAATAAAATAATTCTAATATAGAATTAAAAATATAACATAATTTCTAATTTTAAATCTTAATACAAATCTAGAGTTAATACTATTAAGTAAAATTTTAACTCCTCTTTTACTTATCAATAAACATTAATAATCTAAAAATCAACTTTTAAACTAATTTCTATTATCAAAATTTTCTTTTTATTTCATAAATTCGCACATAAAATACCTAAAAATTAAAATTGAGTCTTTAGCTTAGAATCATAATCCTATAGCCATAATAATTCATTTCTCATCCCAAATAATCATCTAAACCTTAATAAATCAACATATATTTTCAGATCTAGTTTAGAATTTGATCCATAAGCCACAAATTCAAAGATCATCAATAAATTTATACTCTAGAACATTTATTATACTACTAACAACCTCATAAACTATATTTATTCAACATAAATTCATCCCTCTTCCAGATCCTAAATTTTCTACCACCACAAAATCAAAAACCAAAGAGGAAGGATGACTAAAAATTTTTTTTAGAACACTTACTTAGTCTTGAAAAGCTTAAAATCACACTCTAAATATTCTATTAAAAACTCTTACCTTAAAAACTCAGATCTCCCGCACCAGCGACTCACGCTCACTCTGCCTCAGCTCGCGCATAAAGGAAAGAATGAAGAAACGAAGGAAACAGGTGAGTTTTTATAAAATTCAGTGGGTCTCACATTTTTTTAATTATTTCTTCTTTTCTCTCTCTTCTTTCTTTCTTTCTTTTTTATTATATATATTATATATATATATGTAATGATGGCACGTGGAAACGCCAAAAGCATCCATTCCTTTTCTTCTTCTTCTTCTTCTTGTTTTTTTTTTTGACCTTTTCCCTTTTTTTATTATAATAATAATAATTTAATAATAATTTTTTAATTTTTTTTAATTTTTTAGTTTAATTTAGAATGATATCCTAAGTTAGATTTAATAATCATTTTCTACTAATTTACTTACCTCTAAATATTTTTTAAAATTTTTATTAATTCAAATTAACTATTAAAATTTAAATTGAGATGTTATACAGCAAGTGGTAATATTTTTAAATTATAAATAATATAACTATCTAGCAGACTTATAAGATTCGAATCAGGGAAATTTTGGAAGTGGGTTTGCTTCTATTTCCTTCCACACACAAAACAGACTATGTGAGATGTTATGTATCCCCCTTTCAAAATCCAATCATTCCAATTATTTTCTAATGCGCATCTCATATGAAATACATATTTTGATTGCTTAAATTAAATTTAGACAGTTTATATTGTTTCATTGGTTTTTTTAAATATTTTTTTAATTTCAAAATATTTAATTTAGATGATTCATATAATATATGAAACCCTTAATTAGGCTCTTGTACATTTAAGAATGGGGACCAGGTTCATTATTATATTCTCAAACTCACAATACTTGTGCTGAGGTGGTCCTTAATTTAGGAAGTTGCCGTGTCTGTAACGTTATCAATATTTAAAGGACAACTCTCAATTTATAAATATAAAATATTTTTAATTAAATTTTACCTCTAATAAAATCATTACTTATTTTTAAATTAATAATATATTTTTATATTTATTTTTATTTAATAAAATATTTTATTATAAAATAAATATAAAGTAATTAATTTAGTATTTTTTTAAAAAAGCAATGATTACATTTTAAAATATTAAAAATATTTTATATTTTTAATATTTAATCTCTCAAAAACTATCTTATATTTTTAAATTGAAAACGCATTTTCTTCTTGATTCTTTTTATGTATTGTCTTATATTTCTTATTAATACATATTTCAATTATTTTTCAAAAAAAAAAGGCAATCAATATTTGGTAGATCTCCTAAATGTTCTCCTTTTACTGTCCAAGTATTGAAAAAGACATTTATAATTTTTTAAACACAAATGCTTAGTTTAAATAATTAACTATAATAATGCTCGATAATATTTCGAGCAAAGATACCGTTGAACTGTGTGTGTGTGTGTGTGTGTTTTTTTTTCTGTTTTAATAATAGCCAATTGAAGTGCCATAGGCTATCCAGATTCAAATCTACTTAAGCTTCAAATGATCATAAAACTTGAATTTAAGATCATGAAATTTTTTTGGCCAAACATAGTAACATATTTAATGGAAATAAAATCTCTTCTGCTTGAATAAAAGTTATTTATCATAGTACTCAAAAGTTTTTTTTTTCTGGAATTTAATGAATCCAAGTTGGTTCTTCTTACTTGGCTTTTCTCCCTTCCCAATCTTGCTATAGTACTATTCATCAAATTCAAAAGGAATACCCCTTCTGTTTAAAAATATTAAATATTTTTTGAAGAGTTGAATATTAAAAAATGCAAGGTATTTTTTGTCTTTCAAGGTGTAATCATTACCTTTTTTTTTTTTTCAAAAGTATCTCTACTGATAGTGATTTTATATTTATTATAGGGTACTTAATAAGGATAAATATAAAAAAATAAGATTAATTTAAAATTAAATAAGTACTTTATTAGAGGTGAGATTCAATTAAAAATGCTTTATATTTTTGAACGAAGGGAGTATAATAAAATCAATTGTGTAAAGCACTATATTCCTAATTTTCGTATTTTTTTGCTCTTACAGTTTTTTAAGATTAAACTATACCTATTACCTAATGACTCTTCTTATGATCTCTGATGTCAATAGAGGTTGTTTCATTTAAAAAAAAATATCAACATAAAAATTTTAAATATTAATATATTAGATTTAGTTTTTTAAACAACAATGATTAACATAAAAATTAATTAAAAATTAGGATTAAAAAAATACTTTACAAAATTATAGGATTAGAGGGAATTTTAACAAAACTTTTCTTATATAATACTCCCTCCATCTCAAATTATAAAATATTTTTTTAAAAAAATTTGTGTTTCAAAATATAAAATATTTTAAAAAAATTAAAATTTTATTAAATAGATTTATTTTAATATTATCCTCTCTCTCTTCATTTAATATTAATTAAGTGTAAATTTAAGGTTATTAAATAAAAAATATTTTAAAAATTTATATTTTAATTTAAAAAAATAAAATTATTAACTGTATTTTATAAAATTTATTAAAATATGAGATTTTATTTAAAAATATTTTATATTTGAGGGAGTAAAATTTTTGTTTTTTTAACAAATGGTATTATTATAAATTGTGCACCTCATTATTTTACGCGTGGCGGACCCATGTACTTCAAATTAAGTCTAAATTAAGTCAGTAAAGTGATCTTAGCTCCCATGAAAGTCTACAAAGTAATCACAGTTTATACAGATTAAAAAAAAAAAGGTAATCACGGAGCATGATGATAGAAGAAAAATGAAGTTCTTGTAATCTTGTGAATTGTGATGTGTTGGGAGGGGGGAAAAAAAAGAAATCTAATAATGGCTGCCTCCCCAAAATTTAGCTGCCTTGCTTGGAAATGGTGGTGAATGGTACAAAATCGACAATCCTTGTGATTTGGCTTCTGGCTTCTGGGTAAGGTCTAAGTCCTTCTGCATTTGCTTCGAAAGGCTGATTGCTCCAAATTCTTCTTCAATTTTGAAGTTCTATATTTCTTCCTAGCTTCCTACTCCTTTCCTCAATTCTTTTGCTTATGTTGATTGTGCACTGCCAGATCCTGCTCTGAATTTTGGGCTTCTTCTTCGATCTTGCTTGATATGCCCACTATTCTCGTTTTCAGGTTTCCATCAAAGAATTTTTGGAAAATTTTTTTTCTCAGCCTTCCATCCTGAACTGATCTTACTTCGTTTCCACTTCCTTTGCTTCAATTTCACAATTAAGCAGCTATTTCAGCCTTCTTTTTTTATTTTCATTTCTGTGGTACCAACCAAAGGAGAATTTAGATTTTGCTGTATGTTTGAAAATCGATGCTTCATAATGATATGCCTACTTCTGTAAAATGTTTTGCACAGGCTGGGCTTTTCCGTAGAGTATGGGCTTGTGATTCTGAGCATATAGTTGGAGAATTGTGAAGGAGGTGAAGAAATTTCTTACGATGCGGTTGTTCCCCTTGAGCTCGAGCTCCAACTCGAGTTTGAGGTCGGAGAGGGAGCGAAATAATGAGAAAAAGAGTCGTGCTATGGTTTATCTCAATATATATGATCTCACTCCTATAAACAATTATCTTTACTTGTTTGGACTTGGAATCTTTCATTCCGGTATAGAAGGTATGGCGTTTTCATGATTCTCTTGGTATGTGACATCTGCATACTTTCTTGTATGTAAAATTCAGTTCTTATTTTCTTTTTCGTCATAGCTATTATGTGCATTATCAGGCCATTATTGTACATCCGCAGCATTACTAAGATATAATGGTGTGATATTTGCATGTTAAAAAGAAAATAAAATGAAAATTATTTAGTACAGTAGAGCTGCTTACACTTGTGGTTTATCATATTATCTTATTACCGAATTTTGAGAGTAGTACACCATAATAGAGTTCCGGATGATGACACCCAGGGCCAGATGACAATTTGAGGTTTCTTACGCGAATCGCACAATGCAATTATGATTTTATATCAATTAACTCTCCAGTTATATTAGTTATTATTAGGTCCTATGGGATAACTCCTTTGAGTGTCTTTCTCGGTCTCTACATTTTTTCAGAGATTTAAAGACCATATGCTCCACTTTTCTTCATTTGCGCCTCTAGTGGCTTATTTTGCACATGTATAAGTCACCTTAATTGATATGCTATTTTTTCTTTGATGGATACCACTCCAACCTTTCTTCATATACAATCATTACTGAATTCTCAATATTCACTACTCTTTAGCATCACCATCTTATAACAGTTTGGTAAAACCTCCCTTTAAATTTAGTAGGTAATTTTTGGTCACAAATGAAGTGACTCTTGATGCCTATCACCCCACCTAGCTTATAGGTTGCTGGATGACATTGAAAATAAAGAGGGTTGGTGAAAATAAAAATGGTTGGTAATTTGGTATATGATCTTCCATTTTGATTTCCTAGCATGTTCTGATGTTCTACCATAGTCTTGAGAACTTTACCTTTCCATTTGCACTTTGCTACTCCTGTCACATTGTGTACGTTGTTTTAAATTTGTGTAAAGCCTCCTTTTAAAAATGGAATTTCATCACGAGTTACAGTAAGAGCGTACATGATATTTATGACTACTTGCTTTGCTGTTATCTTAGACATACTCATCTGGGATTTGATTGAACGTATCACTCCTTATGGTTACTTGGGAATTCAGGAGATAGCTTTCTATTGTTTTAAATTTGTGATTTTATATTTGAATGAACTTTGTTTCTTTTGAGTTTTGCCAATGGATCTAAGCTTTTGTTTGTAGAAATTGATATCCACTTTTTTTTTTTTAAAAAAAAGAATCTGATTTACATATACGAGTTGTCTGTTCAAGGAAGAAGTCATGGTGGCTCTGTTTTCCAATTAGCAATTGCATGACTGTGACTTCGCTCTGTTTGCTTTATTGAACTTTCTCCTGATCTTTTCAGTATCTTTATATTGCACTTGATGGTCTTCTAGGTAGAAAGAGATTTTGATGATATGATTGTTGATTTGCCGAATCTTGAGATTACTTACTTATATTCTTAATATTATTCAGTGATAACTTTGTGATTACTATAGTAACTTAGCAGTACATTAATGCAAGCATTCAAGTTAAATTGACTTCATGAACCTTAAAATTTTGATCTCTCCATCGGTTTTTTGTCAGAGTATTAGTCCGTAAATGAGAATCCCATCTACTCACATTGACTTCAAACTGTGTCAATGCAAGATTTGGACCAAAAGCCCAAATGATGCATAAAGCATTGTAGTAAACCTGGTGTCTATTCCAATATATCATCAGCAAGTGAAACTTAGATGACCATTTACAGTATAAGTAGTAAAGGGAACATTCCATTTTGGCCAGTATCTTACTCACCTCATCACTAAACATTTTGTTTCTATTCAAGTTTTCCTTTATATTTTAGTGTACCAATTTTGGAATATCCAAGTTACTATATCTAACAGCAGAGCGAATGATAGTGAGAAAAGCTATTTTAATAAAAGGAGTAGAACTATGTCCCTTGAACAAATTAGTGACAAGGAGCATAGATGCACTGGTTTTTTTTTTTTTTTTAACTTATAATTACCAATTTTAATAAACATATAGCTTGATGTTTTCATGGGCAGTGCATGGTATGGAGTATGGCTTTGGAGCACATGAGTATCCGTCAAGTGGAGTGTTTGAGGTTGAACCTAGAAGCTGCCCTGGCTTTATCTTTAGACGATCAGTTGTATTAGGCAGCACTGACCTGTCTGGCACAGAGTTTCGTTCCTTCATTGAGCGCCTTTCTTCTGATTATCATGGAGATACTTACCATCTGATTGCCAAGAATTGCAACCATTTTACTGATGAAGTCTGTCAACGGCTAACTGGAAAGCCTATCCCTGCATGGGTAAATCGAATGGCTCGAGTAGGTGAGGACTGTGCATGCTGACCTTTCATCTGTTTGGATGGATACTGCAACGTATTGTGCATTTGCAATAGGCATGCATGTGTTGCCTATCACTGCACCTTGGTTTACATTTCGAATCAGATTCTGCTCCTATCACCGCATACTTGCTCATGTTTGGCTGTGTCTTTGACTTTCTGTGAATCTGGTGATTTTAGATGCTACTGTTTTTGCATGTGATCATATGTAGTCTATACTTTCAGGTTCTTTCTGCAATTGTCTTTTGCCAGAAAGCCTTCAGGTTGCTGCAGTTAGACATCTTCCTGAACGCCTAACATATACTGGTAAGATATGCAGAGAACCTCGTCATGCAAATATTCTCCTGGATCTGGCTTTATTGACAGTCTGATAAAGAAAACATTATTATGGAATAGCAAATGGCTCGTGATATCTCTAGCACTTTTTCAATATTTTTGCACAACTTAATGAGGATTAATTAAAAAAATGTGAAATTATATGCACACTTGCGATGAAAATACAAAAAAACAAACAAAGTTGGAACAGGTCTTATTTCTTTCCCTGTGAATGATACAAGACACTCTGGTGCACATTTGACAAGTTAATAGTTGAACTAGATGTATATTGATTTTTGAAAAAATCTCAAGGTTTATTTTTGGTGCTCCTTGAAAAATAATTTTTTGTTTGTTTGTTAGTTGAGTCGGGAATATGCATTGAGTTATGTGGGTTGGCTTGAATAACTGATCATATGGGTCGGGTTGGGTTGGGAAAAAAATTAACCCAAATAAAAATGAATTTTTTTTGGCTCGGACCTTATGATTCAGGAACCATATGTGTTAGGGTTATCCCGTTTAACCCATATTATTTTTTAAAAATTTTAAAAAAGGAGAAAAATTGGGGGGATAAATCATATTGGGCATGACTTAGTCGGATCAATTCATATATTTTATACAAATATTATGGATTAATATTTCGGTGTATATTGAATGAATTATGAAGGAATATCAAATTGAAACTCATCATTTAGTTGTATTTTTTTAAAATTCATGAAAAAAAATAAATTGTAAAACAAATGGTTGACAGGTTAGCCCATTTAATTTGCTAACTCTTAAGGGTTGGGTTGAGTTGGGATTTTTCTAGTCCATATAAACATGGGCTGAACCCAACTCAACTCACGTTTCTTTCAACCCATATGGTTCGGGTTGACCCATATTTTTATTTCTATTTATTAGAACAGCTACTACTTACATTGGTCTCCTGAAATCAATTTGTTTTTGCAGAGTATTTATTTCTCCGAGGATGTACTTTATGCATTCATTCATGTAAAAATGTAAACGATTCAAACTGGTTATAATCGATTCAAACTGGTTTGTGTAATTGTTGGGCCTTAGAACAAGGGAATCTTGCCTTTATATTGCAGATGACGAAGGATCAGAATCTGGGTTGTCTGCATCAATGGAAAGTGAAGAGGAGGAGCCAAACCACCATCTGCTAACAGCATCTAATGGTGACGTGGCCTTTCTAAAGGAAAAACCGGTGCGGCTAGCTCGAGAGCTTCTGTGATTTCAGTAGCTTCTGTTGTGTGATGGTTATGATTATTCTTTGTTCGGTTTGTATCATGTTCATATATACAATCACAGCTTACCCAGTGTGACAAGTTTCTCAAACAACTCTATCTATCTGGAGAAGCAAAAGGCATATTTAACAGTACAGCAATGTGTGACGATAATGATAATCTGTTCAATTCATGTCTGGAAGGGCTTTTTGAATTCTTATGGATGTCATTAGACTCCAAGAAGAAAAATCGTTCGGGTATGCTATTTATCATGCAAGTGTGTTGTCCTTCTTTTGGGGTATACAAGTGCTAGACAGGCTACAACTTCACTTCCTGAATTCACAAAATGTAAAATCTGTTTCTCTTTGATGACACTGAGGTCGGTGGTGAGTGCCTTGGAGATAAATTTGGTTTCTTTATTGTGATTCGACTCTAATCTGTTTTGGGAGTCCCACTCAAATGAAATTTTCAACGATGGGTGTGGCCTAAATCTCTCTTTTTAACAGTTTATAGCCGCACTAATAAGGATACGGTGGTGGGTTTCTCTTTATTGCAAATGTAAACCGTTCAAATTAAATTTATATTTTTAAAAATTATCAAATCTAATTTAATGGTTCAGATTCATAGTATTTCTTTTACTGTAGGAGAGGAAAACTAACTCCCAATAGAATAAAGGCTTGTTTGGTTTTGTTTGCATTTTTAATTTTTTTAAAAAACTATTTTGTAAGTCAATTTTTAAAAATTGGTTTCCAAAACTAAACAAAATAAAAGCATGTTTGATTATATTAATTTGAAGATAATTTTAGAGTTAGAAAAATGGCCGATAGTGGTAGTGGTGGTGTTGGTGATGAATCTTGGTGAATCTGGTGATGGACTATGATAGACGTTGAAGATAAAACAGAAATAAAGTAGGCTCAAAATCTTCCCAGTTCGCAATGTGTTTTATTTTTGTGTGGCAACATTTGTATCGAGATGAATTAAAGTGACACGCAAACTAACTGGATTCTCTTGCTTTTGTGCTGACAAAGAAGTTGTTGGATCAAAGATAATCTATTGTCAAGTGTTATCAAGGATTATATTGTGGAGCATCTTGAGGTTCAAGCGAAAAGAGATGAGAGTCCCAGAAAAAGGGCAAAAAAAGACGATAGGTAAAATTATCTGCGTCGGATTTGTCTGGATAAAGAGGAGACTTCACTTTTCTTCCTTTTTCAATGTCAGTTGCAATGTTTAATCCTTCAGGTCTAAGAAAAACAATCCTCAATCCTGAACGTTCCTAACATTAACATATACAAGAAAAATAATATTTTTTCATTTTAAATTATAAAATACTTTTAAATATAATTTTATATGCTGATAAAACTTATTAAATATATTTTTTATTCTTTTAAAAAGAATATAAACTTTTAAAAATGTTTTTATTTAATACTTCATTTATAAAAGAATATTAAAGATAAAGAATATGTGGAAAGAGTAATATTAAAAATGCATCATTAATGAGATGTAATTTTTATCAAAATGTCTTATATTTTTTATGCAATTTTTTTAAAAATCTTATAATTTAAAATATGAGATCTTTTTGCAAGAGATTTGATATCTTAAAATATAAGACATTTTGAAGATTGTATTTCTTAAACCTGGATAAAGAGGAGACTTCACTTTTCTTCCTTTTTCAATGTCAGTTGCAATGTTTAATCCTTCAGGTTTAAGAAAAACAATCCTCAATCCCGAACATTCCTAACATTAACATATAAAAGAAAAATAATACTTCTGACACTTTCAAATAAAATTACACATATTAATAAAGCTTATTAAATATATTTTTTATTTTTTAAAAATATACAATTTTAAAAATGACATGTTAAGGATTAAAAACTTTTAAAAATATAAGCTTATTTTGAGATTTAATATCTCAAAATATAAGACACTTTGACAGAAATAAAGTTTTAGTAATGATGCTTTTTCAATATTGTCATTCCTATATATTTTTTCTCTTTAATATTTTTTATAGATGGAGTATTAAATGAAGAATATTTTTGAACATTTATATTTTTATCTTAAAAAAATAAGCTTGTATTAAATGAGTTTTATTAGTATGTGTGATTTTATCTAAAAATATCTTATAATTTGGGATTAAAGAAGTAACTCGTAATTTATTGCTGAAATTTAAATCTCATAATTATGGCAGTTTTTTATTTTTATCTGTTGTTAAAATTTTGAAATTATTTACTAAATTTTGTTTGTATAATTAATTATATACTTTTAAAATATATGATTATAACAAAAAAAGTATTAAAATTAGAGGTTCTAGTGCATAAAAATTAATAAAATATAAAAATAAAACAATTCAAAATTATTTACTCTTTCTTGTTCAAATTGTAAAACATTTTTTTTATCTAATTTTTGCCTAAAATCCACGATACTTTGTGTTTTTTAAAATTATTCTTCGAAATTGAACCTTGTATTATTTTTTTTTGGGCCCAAGAATATTGTATTAATTAATAGAGATATGAGAAATATAATTTAATTCAACACTGCTTTTCATTTTTTATTGGGTCAATGAGTATCTTAGCTCCTAAATTATTGCCTAAATATCATTCTAAATTTTAAAATTTTAGAATATGCAAAATCTCCCCTCCACTTCTAAATTTTAAATGCATGAAACCTCTTCGTTGAGTTAAAGAGAACGGCTGTTATTTTTTAAGATTAAGATGCATGCAACTTGGTCTCACAACTATAAAAAGTAAGGATTATTTTCTCCAATTTAGTGGTAGGAATTTAGAAGTTTAGGAAATTTTTTACATATTTTAGATGTTCAAAATCTATGATTTTATTTATACAATAGTTTAGAATTTAAGATATTTATTAATCCTTCTGTATCATAAGAGGGTTAAAGGCACAAAAAGGGAAGGGATATCAATTTTTTTAATGAAAGTGAAAAAATAACTACTATTATTAGTTTGTAAAATATGGTTGGAAGAATTTTATAATTTGAATGGAAGGGAGTACATTATAAGGATTCAATTATACATTTTGAATTATAACAACTTAAGAATAAGAGAACTATGAGAATTAAATGCATACTTTGTTTCAAGACTTCTTATTTATTAATTTCACTGAATTCTATTTTTCCCACATCTATTTATTTATTCATTTATTACAATTTACTAAGTTAAAGGAATCAACTTTATGGGAGAGGTAAAGGTGAAAATTCGGGCAGGCAGGGATTGGCTCAAATAATCTCTAGTTGAATAGGCCCCATATCCAAATATGACTTCTTAAAAAACCTGAATAGTCATCTAAATATTTAAATTTTCTATTTGAAATTAATTTTAATTAAATTTTTTACTCTAAAATTAATTATTTTATTTTATAAAAAATATAAATATATATTTTTTGAATTCTTAAATAATGATAAGACTCAAATATATGATATTTTAATATAAAATAACTTAAAAATTAAAGAATTAATTAATATTTATTATATTTTATATATTTTATAAATATATATATTTTATTTAGGCACTCGGGTCTAATAAAAAAAAAAAAAATCAGCTGGAGGGGCAAGTTGGAAGGATATGTACAAAGACCTTATTTATTATTAGTAAATGAGGAGACTTGCCAAGTCAGGTCAATGAGACAGAAAAAAATCGAATCCTTGGGCTGCGCGGGCTTCTCGGAACCTATTTGGTCAACCATCAAGCTTACCATTCTAATCTGTCAGTTCTTTTTTTCTCTTGTTTTTTTTTTTTTTTGCATATATCTTTTTTATTAAACATAATTTTATTTAAAATATAATCAAATATTAAATGTAAGTATTTTTTTAATAAAGATTTAAATTTTTGTTCAAGAATTTACCCATCTCACTGGACCCAACCCCTCATTTTCAATTTTAAACATAATCTCCTAGCATTTATTATCAATTTATTTCATAAAAAAATACGGCCAATAAACATTTTGCATCTCATCATCAGACGTTGAAAATAAATCAGTGTAATTATTTACCAAAAAACTTGAGAATAAATATTTTAAGCATTGTATAACATAATTGAGAATAATTATATTAATATAATTTTTTATCCATAAAATTTAAAGTTCTCTAAGAAAAATTAAAAACTAACTCTTCGGTCCTAATTATATAATAAAATTTTAAAATTCTATTTAATTCTAAATATAGGTAAAGATATAATAGCTAATTTTTTCCCCAATGCTAACCCTTCTTAATTCAACCAAGTTGTAATTCCTAAACACTTATTATGGTCATTAGCAAAATCAAAAAGTCAAATATTTTTTTTATAAATTTAAGAATATTAATTATCATTTCTTAAAAATAGTTAAGTTGATTAATTTTATATACAACTGTTTCAATTTATAAGGCATTTTTTTATACATGCAAATAAAATTCATTAAATATAATTTACAATATCATTTTTTAAAAACATAAATATAAATTTTTAAAAATATATATTATTTAATATAATTTTATTTGTAAAACATTAAATAATGAAATCTTATTTTTATTAAGATATCATATATTTTATGTACTGAATCACCTCAAAATATATTTTATAATCTGAGAATAAGAAAGTAGCGTGCAAGAGGATATTATAAAATTATAAATTAAACACTTCCCAGCATCTTTATTGCAATTCTTTTTCACAAATTGACAATGATACATGTGAGTGTGACCCACCCAAAGTTCAGAACTTTAGCATCTCTGTGTTTGCTTGTGCCTGCAAGCAAGAAACCAAATTCTCACTTCTCTTCTTCTCCTTTCTATATAAAACCCATCATTTACTCACTTTGAACAAAGACTTATTCCAAGTCTCCCTCTTCTTCTTCTTCTTCTTCATTCTCAAACTCATCACCATGCCTCCTCCATTCATCTTCCTCTTCTGGCTTTCAATCTTCCTCAACTCACTTCGCTTCCTCTCTGCAAATCCCCCTGCTTCTTCCACTTGCACTCATGACGACGCTCCTCGTATTTCCCATCCTTTTCATTTGAATCTCCAACAACCTCGTCCCTCTTTGACTTCGTACGATGTTCCCTCTGGTTTCGAGCTTCTCTGTACAGATAACCTCACCACCATTCACTTCCCTTCTTATACCCATTATTTGGTCGTCAAATCCATTTCCTACCCCACCAAAAGAATCAATCTTCTTGACCCAAGAAACTGTGTTCATGACGTGTTTCTCAACCTCGATCTTTCTCACACCCCGTTTCACTACTTCTATGTTCTGAAGAACTACACTTACCTGAATTGTTCCAAGGTCCTTTCGCGTCCTTTCATGGAGATTCCTTGTATGAGTGGACCAGACTTTCATGTTTACACAGTTGAGCCTTCCTTGCCTGTGCCTGGTTCTTGTGTGACAGTTAAAACCATTGCGATACCGTTCGAATATTCCCCTTATCTCTCCGACAATAGCCTTGGTCTTGGATTAACCTGGGACTCGCCTCTGCTTCAAGAAACCAGAACAGAGCATACAGGTAAATTCAGTTTCTTTCGTTCTCGAACAAATCTCAAGATTATATTAGAATTTTTCTGTTAGTATTGGTATGTTTATATATTTCTTATGTTTGGATATGTGTGTGCAGCTGTGAACATCGGCATTTTTGTAATTGTGGCGATAGCAATACTGGTAAGCGTGAAGGTTTGGTGGTCAAGGTCAAGAAGGGATTGTGGTGAGAAAGAAGATCAATTATTACAGAGCTTGTGAGAATTATAATACATGGTGGCTAAATTTTTGAACTTTAATTTTTAGTACTTTTTTTTTTTTTTGGATATTTCATGAACTTTGAGATGTAGTACAACTCTATGATGTTGTAGAAGAGAGAGAAAGATTATCTTGTTCCTCCGTAATTGTGAAACAAAAGTAAAGGTTTCAAGGTTCTTAATATTTTTTTTTTTGACCTGGATAGTTTCTTTATTTTCTTGATGCTTTAATAAATTGAAAAGAATTTTTAAGAGGTATTTGCTAGGTAAAAAAAAAAAACCAATCACAATTGGTTAGTTAATTATTGATTTATGCATTCTAATTTTAATTATACTATTGTGAGTTTACGATAATGGCTAGCCAGCTAGGCATGCCAAAGATACAAGGGTTTCAAATCATAAAACTTAATTTCTAGACAAATGATCATGGCTTGAACTTGTTTGCCACAATTTCACCAAATATATAAAATGAAATTTAAAAAATTGAGAACTTGAGACAAGTGAACTTTGATGAGAATCTGATTACATGTAATATATATTCACACACATTTATATAGTGTGCGTATATAATATATATTTTGAATTTAGCAGGTGGCCTAAATCTACTTATTTTTTCACATGGCATGATGACAATCATTTAATTTAATTAAATAATTATAAAAAACATATCACATATCACAGTCAAATGGTACTATTACTTCACACATATATATTATGCACAAAATTCTTCATTTTTTAAAAACCATTTCATGTATAAGACTACATATTGTTAAAAATATATCAATAACTTTCTACATATCAAATAAGTTTTAAATCATAGATTTCAACAACTACTTAATTAATATACAACTATAAAAATAAGATTTTTTTTGATTACCTCAAATCTTTAATAAGTCAAAAATTATCCCTCAGTCATAGCTTGTTTTTTGAGTTAAATTCAAGCTAACTGATGCTTCATGAGGTTAGTTTATAATTATATTAACACCCATCACTAATAATCATTAAAATTATCACTTTAAACATTTAATTTCATATTTTAATAATTAAAGTTTCAATTACAAGATCAACCTCACATTCATTGAGTTTTTTAATTCTCATTAACTTCAAAATGTTTAATCAATAAATTTTATTAAAGGAAATTTTGAAATTTTAAAGGTATTAGATTATTTTAATTTATGAAATGTTATTAATAGGTCCTCATATAATTTTTTTTTGGCCACAGCTAAGCATATAAGTTTAAAATACGAAATTAAACAAAAAAAAAATGGTCTCTCTAATTTTTCCTTTGGTTAGATAATACACGTATCATATCAAAGCGCACACGGGTTAAGTCATACAATCTTACTGACATAACTAATAGAAGTTGTCTTTTATTTTTACTATTAAAAGAAACCTCCGTGACCTTTATTTATTTATTTTTTTACCGCAAACTTTTTTACTATTATTTTTTAATTATCTTATTAATAAAAAATTATCATGTAATATTAAAAAAAAGATGCATAGCGGTTTATATAGTATTCAATGTAAGTAAATAATAACTTTTGTAAAAACTTTTTTTTTCATATTTTTATATTATCATTAACTAGGTCATGTCATATAGTTGTTGTGACTTCTTTTAACATGATATGACAATTTTTATTATTAATAAGATAATTAAAAAATAACAATAAAAGAGTCTGTAATTAAAAAATAAAAAATTAAGGAAGCTAATTCTAGCCTTGTAAAGGTGAGGGGATTCTGTTCAATTGCTTCAAAGAGAGTTTTCTATAGTTCAGCCAAAATGCATTGTATGTTTAAGCTTAAATATTTGATTTTATTATTTATTTTATTGTTATAAAAAATTAAATTAATAATACTCCTTCTAGTCCTATTTATAAGGTAAAGAGAGAAGAATTTTTTGATCTTATTTATAAGTCACATTATTAATTTTTTTTTATAATTTTTTTTTACCTTCTATTGAATGTTGGAGAGAGAAAATATGTTATTGAAATGTGTATATTTAATAGGGGCAAAGTTGAGAATTTTTTAAATTTTAGGACAGAATTAATGAGTTTTAAAATTGTCCTTAATACTGATAAAATATATTAAAAGTGATTTATAAATAAAATCAGAATAATATACATATTGATTTTAGGAAAGAATGACTTGTTTCCCCCGGAATTCATAGGCTGGTTCCGCCCTGCATTCATGTATGAGTCAACATTATTAGCCTGAAATTTGACAGAAAAGAAGAGTTAGGTAGAAGAACTCACATAAGCAGGACAATTTTTTGGATATAAAAAAAAGTTTTGAATCTTTTAAATAATTATGAAACTGATTACTTTATCTGTAAAATAATTGCCTTAAACAAAAAATTAATATTTTGGTAGCTTAAAAATATCTAAAAAGGTAAGGTCAATATTCAATCCCTCAATATTTGAAAAGATTCTGAATGATTGAATTAGTTTGTCTGCTTACTTTCATTTTCCTATCTTCATTCAACCAAACAATGATTTCAAGAATTAAAAACATGTCTGAAATTTCACTTCAACCACTGGACTAAAAATAAAATAAGTGTTGTTAGTTGTGTATTCTCATCTTTTTATATATTATCCTCAATTATGTAAAGCAGAAACACTATCATGAATTTATTACCCTAAGCAAGTTGTCAACATAAAATTTTTGCAGGAGAATCCCCCTCCAATCATATCCATGTTCACATTAGCTGTTTCCCCATCATTTGTGACACAAGATTCAATTAAACAAGAATATTGAAATGGCTGTACAATTCCATTTTCTCAATCAGTCATATATACACTTGCAAATGACATTTTTTTTTTTATAAAAAAAAGCACTATCTTTTGTAAGTTCAAGGAGATGAAATCTTTGAAATGATCAAGCTATACAAACTATAACAATGTTTTGGCTTGGCAGAAGACATTGAATCTGATAAGTGGTGATAATAAGTTGATAAATCATAAAACTAAGTTACTGGACAAAGAATTTTCATCTACAAATATATGGACGCTTTTTGCCAGCTGTTTAATATAATCATGTCTAATTGATTAACATGTGATCACATAGTAATCAAGTTCTATCTGTCCAACACAACACTATCTGTCTAAATGAACAATTTGAAGGGGAACCAAAAGACAATGATTCATAAATAACAGCTCCTAATTTGAAGATTAACCCAAAAAAAAAAAATCTTTAGGTGTGAATGGGTTATGAGCCTACAAAGGGTAAAATAGATCTGCGACCACTCACATTTAACATAACATAGAAATTGGTCAATCAAACGTGAGCTACGGACTTAAGATGATTGATTGGGATTACTCATAGCTTCAAAACTCAAATGGAAACACAGCATAAATTTTTCAGATACTAGTTAAGGTCATACTTCTAAATTTTCAGGTTAGCGAATTACCCCCGGATTGAAATACAATTTTACTTTAAGCTTTTGATTCCCCTGATAAATAAGTTGCATTATTGAATAAAAGCTTAATGTTTATTCGATTTCCTTAGCTTCCTGTAATATCAAATAAAACAAAATGCATCGCTCAGTCATAATGTAATAATTTTCTTTCTAGTTGTAAGCCGTAAGACTAAAATCTCTGTATCATCAGCAAACACATTCAGGAATAAATTTTCTCAACAGGTGCCATCATTCTAAAACCCAATCCTCAAATAAGAGGATCTGTAAAAGCAACTACAGATTTTCACCCAAAAAAGGGTGCCATAATTTGGTAAACCCAACAATAAAGGAAAACACATGCCCAACACTGTAGGACTGAATGCTAACATTATTCAAAAAGCAGCAGGTCCCGATACATGCAAAATCATCGGCAGCAACAATTTAGGAAACGACAAAAGTAACAGGGAGGCTTCTAGAGAGGAAAAAAAAAAACAAGAAACATCTCAAGATACAGAAGTAACACAAGAAACATCTCAGCCGTTGGCAGGACCGTCCAAGTCTACGGAATGCCAGATTCTGCAACAAAAGGTACGAGATAGAATTAGAAACAAATATCAATCATGGATCATAAGTTGCATGTCCCCTCACTAAATATATACCATCTTCAGTAATCTCTCTATATTAAACGAAAAGGCTTTAGATTATACTAACATATTTTATTGAAGGCCACAATGTCACAGCTCTGGACATATTCGTTGATTGGCTCGTTCATAAGATGTTCCTCAATAAGGCTGTCAACCGAGACCAGGTCATCCACTATAGTAAGCATAATTTGCATTTTCTTGATACCGTACCCAACGGGGGCAAGTTTGGCTGTGACATTGATAGGGAGTAAGGTCAGAATTGTAAACAGGATGGTACACGATGAATGTAGATTATCATTTACAAAATAAAGGATCGTATATTTATCATTTAAAATAATAAGGTAACAAAATATCAACTTACAAGCACCCCAAAGCAATCCTTCCATCTGAACTCCTCTCACTGCTTCTTCAAGCTTTTTCATGTCCGTCTCGTCATCCCAAGGCTTCACATCCAACAGAACAGATGACTTCCCAGCTGATAACACAACAAGCAGAAAGTCATTACACATAAAACAGGTGTCAGAAAAATGTCAGGATCCAAAGGCAATTAATTTAAAATCAGTAGGAACATAACTTACATTCTTTCTTCTTTGAAGATGCCTTCACGGCAGCTGCCCGTTCTTCAGCAGCCTTCTTCTCCTCTTCTGTCTCTTCACCAAACAAATCCACATCATCATCATCATCATCATCATCATCCTCAGCTGATGTAGCCTAATAACATATATTTAGTCAACCGTTAGAATGAGTTCTCCAAAATGAACAAAAATGTGGCAACATAAATGACAGTCATTTATATAAATGGGCCACAGATGGCTCCCTATTTTCATTAAGAACTGGAGAATACATACATACATACATAGAGAGAGAGAGAGAGAGAGAGAAGAAACAACAGAGCGCACAAAAAGAAGATAAAATTGGACAACCAATGAGAACGAGGAGAAAAGAAGAAAAACAAAAATCGAACAATAAATATCCACGTTCAAATTTTGAAAACAAGTTTCAAATCTAATCATATTACATTTATTCATTTGCAAACCAAGTTAATGCATAATATAAAACCTGAATAAAATTGAGGAAAATGCTTACCTTTGTGTCAGCTGGTGGAGGAGTGGCAATGGCCTCCCCTGCCATGGGGAGAGAACCCTCCACTTTGACTCCAGATCCGTTACCAGATACACCACTGTATGTCCAGAATGAAGAATAAATCAAATAAGAAACAGGACACTCATGATGTTATCAACCATTATTAGACATCAGGTGTAAAATTATGATGCACTAAACATCAGGGAAAACACAAACTCGGACAAAAAAAAAACATGCCATAAGTAAATGGACGGTATTGAAAGACCATGCATCTAGTTGCAATACCCAATTACCCTACTTTAATCCATAATCAGGCATGGTATTAGAACTTACGACATTCTCAACAGAGCATCAATGTGCTTGTACCACCGGGAAGCGTTCACATATTCAGCTGATGGGGCCTTTGACAAGGCTGCGTATACTGTAATATCGTCCTTTGAAGCTTGATACCTGAAGAGAGATAGCTAATGAACACCGCCTAGAAACAAAGAGGGGGAATGGGAAAAATGGAGGAAAAGAAAACAATCAAACAGCGGACTTACCCAGTTATATAACTGCGGGTGAGAAGGTATTCGTCAAGCTTTTTCAACCCAGAAGCAGAGTTGACATCAACGAATGTGACTGCCATTTCTAATATATATAATTCCTTTGCTTCTGCAATATGCATATAATGGGATCTAAGTGTTTGATGTATGTATAATCTCAATGCATAGCAAAGCAAGTCTGAGTCTCTCCTAAAGTACAACAAAGATTTTATAGAAAATAGAATAAAAAAACAGAACCAGTCCACTGGACTATGACTTTTATTACGTTTTTGGCTGATGAATATATTTGGCCTTCTTCAAGTTTTTAAAGTTTAACTTATCGCGGACCTATACCACACTCAGTGGGGACATCTGCCCCCACTGAAATCTTTGAAATATGCATAGTTGATATAATGTCCTTTTAATTTTTGTTCCAGATATTTTGACACAACTCCAGCCAAGTCATTTACAAGATCATACATCGCAAGTACCTTGAGAATTTCCAAATTTGATGATAATATAAAAAGATTAATAAACAGAATGCCAAAACACAACAAATCCAACATTGCAATATATACATATATATACAAATCATACAAGTCGCTAGTAATCAAAATGAAGAGGGAAGAAGTATGATAGCCAATTACACACCATTCAAGCAAAAACAAGTACAAAAAAATAAACTCAACATGTAAATATTTCCAAATCCAAAGGTGTCAATATTAAACGATTACACGACCAGATTCAAAGCCAAATTAAAATGAAAAGTTTGATAGAAAGCAAGAACAGCGGGAACAGATAACGCGGGGGAAAATTCAAATTTAGATTCAAAACACCAGATTGAACAAATCAATCCCACCGGATTTTGGGAGTAGAAAAGGCCCTAGGATTCGAACCTTCTTCACTGCTTGCCCGAGAACAACCACGCAGGGCTGACAACGCTGGACGGCGTCCGACGGAGTATGGGATGCTTGTTCGTCGACTAAGAACTGGATCCGCTGCTCCCGAGCAAGGGTTTTATCGAGGTTTATACTTAATTTTAGGAAGAATTTGGTAAAGGCCTAAAAATAATTATTAAAATAGCAAAATTTATTACTCTAAATAATAAAATTTATTTTATAAATTCATACCTGACACTTCCATACTTATTTTTTTTTTTCATACTGGTTTTTTCTAAATTTCAAAATAAATAAAAAGCATCTTAACCTCATACTAGAACTAGAAGAGATAAATGAAATTCACTAAAGAAATAAAATTCATAAAAACCATATATTAGCACATAGTCTAATCATATATTAACGCAATTATACATGAATAGTAAATATAATAATTAAAAATATGTAAAAATTATGAAATGATAAAACAACTATTATGTAGTTTATTTTATTAAGTAATTCAGCTCTATCTAAATGGTGAAACTTCACCGTCAATTGCTAATAGATTTTAGTTTTTTGTCATAATTTTTTTAAATAATTAGCCATAAAACACTATCTTCTTATTTTTTAGGGAAGATGATAATAACATTTTTTTGAAATATGTAAATAATAATTTAATTTCTTAAAATATCATAATTTTACAAAATTTTCTAGAGACCTTTTTGTTACTAATGAATTTATATAAATGATCAAATTAACCTTGTTAAAAATAAATAATTTACACATTTTATTTAGGTATTTATAATTTTTTCTTATATTCACAACAATGTAACAACAAATAAGCAATTTAATATGCAAAGTTGTGATTTGCTGTTGCATTATTACGAATATAAAAAAAATTGTGAATATTTAAACAAAATTTATGAATAATTTATTTTCAAAAAGAAAATTTAATAATTTATATAAATTTATTAATGACAGAAAAGTTTTTAAGGACTTTTGGAGAGATCAAATTGTCATTTATATATTTTTAAAAAATTTATTATCATTTTTTCTTTTTTTTTATACAATCTTTTAACCTTTAAAATTTTTTTATATCATAATAATTATTATATCATATATAAATAAATTAAATGTTTACTAGCAACAAAATACAAATTTTGGTAAAAAAAAAAAGCAAGACATCTTTTATGAATACAATAACATAATAATTATAGAAAAATAAAAAATATAAAAAAATTTATATTTTACATTAATATTTACTAAATTACATTAAATGAATTTTAGATTAAATTAAAATTTATATTAATTTAAATAAAATCAAATAAAATGAAATTTAAAAATAAAAAATAGAATACCAATTGTTATAAATTATAAAAAATAGAATACCACTTGTAACATTTAATATATATATATATATATATTTACATAAATAATAAAATTAAATTTTAACCCTCATTTAATCTTAAGACTTTTACATATATAGCCTATGTTATAAGATTAAATCAAACAAACAGCTCAATATTTATTATATTTATATTATAACTAATTTATTATATTTTTCAATAATATACCGTTGTATATTAATAGTAAACCTCTTGTAAATTTTTAATAACAAACTTATTATATAATCAATGTGAACCGACCATACTTCAAATTTTTTAGACACGATTTTTTTTTTGGCCAATAGATCAATTTATCCTCTAAACTTCACTTCCATTTTAATATACGGAAGATCTTTTAAATATGTAACATCTATCATTTGAGACCGAAATCTTTCCTGATATAATAATGTTTAAATAATTAGTATTTATTTTATTATACTTTCATTGTCCAAATTTTTAAGGCTAGCACTAAAAGTTATAAAATTATTGTAAAAAGGTTAAAGGGCAAAAGTACCCTGAATTTTTTTTCAAATGAGCACTCAACACCTTTATCTTTTGAAAGGAATAATGTTACCCTGGAAGTATGAAAAATGGAGCAATTTCACCTTGCAATTAATATATACTAACATTTGATTGTTAAATATTACTTTTTGACTAGAAAATTTGACGTGTAACTTTCATCTTTCCTCTCCTCTACGTGTGCCACCTCCTCTCTTGCTCGACTTTTTCTTCATCTTCTTCATCTCTTTTCGATAACAACTAGTTAGCTTGAAGGAGCACTCACATCCGTCCTCCTCTTCTATCCACTCCTCCTCTACCATTCTGATTTCAAGGTTTTAGGGTAGTGATCTCAAGGTCTCCTTCATGTGTGAGAGTGTGATGTGTAACGTCTAGGAAAACTTAATCGTGATTGGTTAAGCTAATGAGTATGATTAGTAAGTTAATGAGATGTGTGGCCAGAGGGGCCTAATTTGGTGTAATTGTTTTGATTTCAGCCTTAGAAGTGAATCTGAATTGAAGGCAGGCCACCTGGGCAAGGAAAGAGAAAGAAAGAATGAAGTTTGCCCTTTGTGACACATACCACATCGTGTGGTCAATTTGCTATGATGTACAAGGCAAATTTGAATGTAACGAGCCTCTCTGTACCATGAGCCACGATGGAGGGTAGCGTACGCCACGACGCATAGCCAAAATATAACCCATTGAATGAAATAGGTGTTAAAGATATAATATAATCATTTATAGTCATTGCACAATGATTATTACTGTTAGTGACGTTTCTTGTGTGAAACCAAAGCTCATTCAAGTGTGAAATGGCAATTTCACATGTATAAGTGATAAATCTCGCTTGAAGCGTGACAAATCTCATTTGAAACATCGTGTGGTATTGCACAAGTGATAAATCATGCATGGACAAAAATGATTCATGCTTTATTTAGACCACATAAGCTATTAAGTGAAAGTAAGGCTTCTAGGTGATATTTCACACATGTATGGAAAGTGATTCACGCGTGATTTGGACCATAAAAGCTATTCAATGAAAAATAAGGCTTCTGGGTGACATTTCATGCATGTGTGAGAAGTGATTCATGTATGATTTGGACTATAAAAGCTATTCAGTGAAAATCAAGGCTTCAAGGTGATGGTTTCATGTGTGCGTGAGAAGTGATTCACGCATGATTTGGACACTGAAACTTACTTTGGACGATTCATGTGTGTGAGCAATATTGAATCACGCGTGTTTTGGAGGGTGCCACTACATATAATTTTATAAGACTCTAACTCACTCAATAAAACTCTAAATCTGATAAATTATATATCGTTGGGAAGCTCTTGAATTCTAGTTTTTAATGAAAAAAGTTTTACACATAAATTCTATGTGACTTTTGAGATACGATTAAAAGAGTGAATGAAGGTCAACTCTACATATTGTATAGAATCAATATCTCAACGCTCAATTTTTAAAATTCATATATTTCTCAATAGAATTCCATTTTAAATAAATAAAATATAATTGAAAAATTATTGGAATCTATTTTCAAATGAGATATATTTCACATTAAAATAATCTATATAATGAGAGATAAGATAAGAAATATGACCAAAGGTTAAAACTAATTTTCTGCACAATTGTCATTTTAAAATTTAGACTTTAAATGTTCATGACTTTTTTAACTTAACTTTATTTTGAGTAAATAGAATAATTTTGAAAACTTTATGGAGTTAGTAGTTAAAACATTTCCAACTTTTTGAGATCAAAGATGAAAAACATGAATGTAAAAAATTATATCTCACTCTATTTTTTAAGAGCTAAAATGCATGTTTTGATTTAAAATATCTTAAGCCAATATTTTATATATAAATAAATGAATTTAGCATAAAGGCTTCTAGCTTAATAATATTTTGCCTATGAAGTTTAAGACTTTCAAGGTAAATTCAAGCTTGTATAAATGCCTTCAATCTTCTTAAACTCTTCTTGGATTATCCTTCCCTTCATGTTATCTCATTTTGAGTGTGGCATGCATGTTGATGATATCTTTCATTTCTTTCTCTTTATGTTCACTCTCATCTTTACTTTGAACAACCTTAAATAATATACCATGAATAAAATGATTAGTTCAAGTATTAATATGCATATAAATATAGGTATGAGGATTATGATACCATGCATATAGTTAATTCATTTATATTTGTGATTATCAAAATTTAAGCTAAACATAATATTATAAGTCATTATATCCAACACTATGCTCTTATGGCATTTGTCTAGTAATATAAAAGTTAAAGTAAATTATTGCATTATTTTTTATATATCACTCCTTTCATTTTAAATTAGATTGGATCTAGTGTGTTGCATGAGTTCAATATAAGAAAATTGAAATTAATAATATAAATAAGAATATTATGAAAATTTCAAATTAAGTAATAATACTGAACATGTCTAAAAAATATAAAAAATGTTTGATAATCTATAATTAGAATACATTCAATATAATAGTATCAATTAAAAATATCTTAAAAATGGTATGGCTTTATGAATGACTCAAAACCCTTGCTTGTAATTATTCCATGGATGTTTTATATATCATTTATTATTAGGAGCATTTCACTGGCTCTTGTGCATTGCACAGGTTTAATAAAACAAAATTTTAAAAAGTAATATAGATAAAATTTATAAAATTTCAATATAAGTAATAATGTTGTCTTGGTAGACAAAATAAATTTTTTTACACACACACACACATTCAATTTTAATATGATCAAATGAACATAATTAATATGAATAATCTTTAATAAATTAGCCATCAACTTATCCAATATAATTCATATTTGGGGCAAAAAGCACACTAAAAGGTAGGGGTATTTACCAAGACAATAATTTTAAGGACACGATGAAATGGAAAGCAAGTTGAACAAATGATTTTCATCCCTTAAAATTCCAGTTTGATTAACACAGAGCAAGAACCAATTTCCCAATGCCTTTACGAATGTGCAGTTATAGCCATGATAAAAAAAATATGAGGTTTAAACCTATCAAATGGAAATGTCCATTTACTATCTATAGATAAGTCATCAAGACTTCTTGCTTCATTAGCTCCATTGCAAGTCTTACAAAGGTAAAAAAAGATATTAACATCACATCAAACTCTAGATATTGATTGATCATATTACGTTAACTATATAGAATTAAGTCAAAGATCAAATACAATTACTTGAAGTGAGCAAATATTAAATTATTTTGGAAACGTCTTAATGCATATTAGAGCTCTA